AAAAAAAAAAAAAAAAAAAACACTAAATATCAAGTTACAAACATGCACGGATACAAGGCCTCACACTTGAGCTCTGGTCCAAGTCCTAAATCGTTGTCATTGTAACAATGTGGGACCCAAGTACAACAGGTAGAGAAGTGTATCTCATTCCACTGCCCTGAGAAACTCCCCAGGGTAATGAGGAGACAAACTTGAGATTCATAATTCAGAAAGCAAGGACAGCAACTGGAAATGACAACTGACTTCAGACAATGCTAACATGTTTCCCCAAACCAGGATTTCCAGCCCGTGAAGACTCAGCAAGACTGTTGAGCTTGTGAAGTAAACAGCCTGCTTGGGAGAATAATAAATTGAAATCTTTGTAGTAACCTAGTAATTATAGTTATGAAAATTTAATCTCACTTCAGAGTAACTAGTCATTATAGCCTTTATCGTGTAAAATTAAAATCTACAGCACTGTAATCCTTTTGCTTCAACTAGAGAAAGGGCTAACATCTTTTTCTATTTTACGGCTTATGGTGAAGACCAGCTTCTCAACTTTGTTCTTAGCATATTTAACCATCACTAGCTTAAGTTTTCTTACACAAGTGCTTAATTTAAAATTAAGTTAAGGACTATGAGGTGAAGCAGAGATGGTGGGAGTTGCCACTACTAACTTGTTTTAAAAGTGATTTTATTGCATATGTGTGCTTTATCCTCATTCCTAAGCTGATTTCAGCACACTGGAGAATTTCTTCCATCCACTCAATGGTGCTGAAGCAGGGGTGACTTAGGGGACAGGTGAGAACGTCTAAAGATATTTCTTCATTACAATTGGGTGTGGGGTGCTGCTAGGTTCAGGGGGAGAGGCCAGGGCTGCTGCTAACCCTCTCCCAGTGCACAGAAGAGCCTCTCGTGACCAAAAGGGTTTGGCCCAAAATGCCAATATTCTCAGTGGAGAAATCCTGACCAACCCCGCACAGGAGAACCACACTTACATATGCCTGTATTTTCACACCAGAAGTCTCGATACATGGCTGAATCAGTTGCCTCCATCTTATTTAGCCTTTCCAGAAGACTTAGCAGTAATTTTGCTATTGCTATTTCCAGATGTAGAATTATTAAGTATCCTAGCTACATTCAGTATGCGTTATATTTAAAACAACAACAAAAAGCCCTTCATTTAAAATGTACATTGTTGGGCGGTGCCTGTGGCTCAGTGAGTGGGGCACTGGCCCCATATACCGAGGGTGGCGGGTTTGAACCCAGCCCCAGCCAAACTGCAACAACAGAAAAGAATAGCCCAGTGCTGTGGTGGGCGCCTGTAGTCCCAGCTACTGGGAGTCTGAGGCAAGAGAATCACCTAGGACCAAGAGCTGGAGGTTGCTGTGAGCTGTGATGCCACAGCACTCTACCAAGGGCAACAAAATGAGACTCTGTCTCAAAAAAAAAGAGTAAACAATACAATGTACATTGTTTCAAAGATTCCTTGACTGAACAAATATCATTTTCATAAACATCTTAAAATTTAACTAATTCAGTAGTATTATCGTTATTCGATATTTCTTTGAACAAAAATAAGATTTTTTTTCTATTTCAAAGCAAATTTAGAAGATATAAGGGATGTACTTAAAGGTAACATATTACTCTAACATTAGAGTCCCATATTACATTCTTATGGGACGTGAACAATTGCGTCTTACTTAGTAGCCTGATCACATGATGATCTCAATTGCGTTACTAATATTAAAATGATAATAACATTAAGAATCAAAGCCAGAGACATTTATTTCATACACTTTTCAGAGAATTAAAACACTTTGTTCAATACAGTTAAAAAATAACAGCCAGGGTGGCACCTGTGGCTGAAGGAGAAGGGTGCCGGCCCCATATGCCAAAGGTGGCGGGTTGAAACCCAGCCCCATCCAAAAAAAAAAAAAAAAACTGAAAATAAAAATAACAGCCAATGCTTAGAACATTACAACACTTACCTATTTGTTGAAAAACTAAAAAATGTATTGTTGAAACAAATGTCTTCCCTTCAGTGTTATCTGCAAGGACAGAGCAGTTTTTATCTTGTTCACTCCAAAAGCAACAGTGGAAAGCTGATTTGGGTAAGCTGGAAAAGTAGACACCACTTGAATTAAACGTAGCTTCAACAGATGTCTCATAATAGCCGTGGGAAGCTGACATGTTCCCGGAGACTCCAGCGGGCAGGAGCAAGTAGTCCTGGGTGGCATTTGGTGGCAAACAGGACAACTTAAATCTCCAGGAAGTAATCGGGTAGGACGGGTTAAATGCAGTTACCGCATAAATAAATTCTGTTAGGACATTAAAAGAGACACAGAGAACAGCAATCATTTTGACAAAGATATAAATAGGAAATGTCTGAGATTAAACCATGTAGGACTCAGAAGTAATGATTAAACTTTCCAAGTTCTCACTCAGGGCCTGAGGACTAGCTCTGTGCTCCCACTTCATGATTGGTTACCTTTGGGAGGCTGCCCTTATTTATAGACACACTCCACTCTCAAAGTACACCTTCCATGCGATCCCCCTGTCCCATTACTAGGCATCTACCCAGAAGGAAAAAAAATCATTTTACCATAAGGACTCAAATGTTCATCGCAGCTCAATTCACAATCACCAAGATATAGAAACAACCCACGTGTCTATCACGGCATAGATGGATTAATAAACTGTGGTATATGTATTCCATGCAATACTATTCAGCCACAAAAAGATGGAGACTTTGCATCTTTTTATTAACCTGGGTAGGTTTGGACAACATTCTCTTAAGTATCTGTAGAATGGAAAATCAAGGAGCCCATGTACTCAATACTATATTGAAACTAGTAGATTGATAACAGGCCCATAGGAGAGAAAAACATATTAAATTCAAGAACAGGGAGGGAGGGCACTAAGTTCCCACCTATCAGGTACCATGTAGGGTACGTGACTCACCTCCTGGGTAAAGAATTCAACTAAAACTCGGACTTTACCTCACAAATGCAAACAATGTAACCTAACTGTATGTACCCTTGTATTAATCTGAAATTTAAAAAAAGAAACATGATATTATATAAACCATTCTATTTTTATAACTACAGATGTAAGTGGATGTGTGTAAGTGTGTGCTGTAATCCTGGAAGATACCCCATCAGGCTGCATCAGGAGGAGAGGAGGTTTACATTTTCATGCGTACTTTTATTTGCATTTTTAAACAGGAGAATGTATAAAAACTTCTAACCAGAGAAAGGAAATTCCATTAGCCAATAAATGATGCAAAATTTCTATCTAAGGACATTAAAACATCAAATAACTTACCCCAATGTAATAAAACCGCACAGAATTTTTGACAAACCATCTTTTTTCAGAAAAGCACACCTGGAAGACAGTAAATCTAAAGTTAAAACACACAGATAAATAAACACACACACACAAACACACATAAACACACACACAAACACACATAAACACACACAAACACACATAAACACACACACA